ACAACTAGCCACATGTTCTTTTTTGTCATTGTGTTATGTGTCATTTATCCACAAAATTAATGAATTGATGAAGTTGATGGTTATATTTAGCTACAAATAAACATCCTAGAATGACATTCATTCATTCTAATAATATCAAGATTACACACAAACCTTATTGCGCTCGGTAATCGTGGTCGATTTGACAGAAAGAAGCTTATAAGTAGACACGCAGAAAACACATTATGTAAGACAAACAGTACAAGTAGAACGTTCTTCCAATGTAATGCAGTGAGTTGAGGCTTAACTCTGAAATAAACAAGACATGAAATGTCACAGTCCCCGTTATTTGATTATAAAGTTGTACAAGGAACATCTGCAAACAGGTGAATAAATATGTACTCTTTGTGGTTACAACTCATCATAAAGTGATTTCCGATGATCTAGTTTTGTACTGACAACTAAAAACTTCCACTGACCCATGTTCAGAATCTCAGAGTACACAAGTGCAACAAAACTATTTGTCATACATGTATACTTGCTCAAGAAACTGCATTCATAAATCTGAGTGAACCTTGATGTACATGACTTCTTTGTTAATCAGGTCTTAGTATATTACCAGGACCTGGGTTTGTTTCAACATCACCACTGGGCATCAGAATCATTCTCATGTTGTCAAATACAATTTGTTATTAACACAATAAAGTTTATTATTTAAAATGTATTCATTCTACATAGAACAACATCTGTTAATTTAAACAATTGTAAAAGCTATGTTTTCAGAGCAAGTAAAGGTTGGTCTGCTCATGACCTTCAATGGAGAAGTAACAAAAATTGTTTGAAGTCTTTTTAGTGCAGTGATATTATTGCATTTCAATTATTATTAATGGGTATAAAATACTGTAAACCATTTAATTTTGACTTCTAGATATATTCAGGATTTTATGAAATTTGTGTACAACATTTCAATAAAGTCCCTGACACTCCATGTTGTAGGAACCCAGAAAAAATTCAGTTCACAGCACCACTGTAAAAAAAA